AGAGTTTCTAAATAAATGTGTATGCAGAGAGAAATTTAGCTCTGCTCTTTCTCTCCCTTCCAGCTGTTGGTGTCATGCAGCTGAAATTGTCTAGAGAAGAGAGAACCACAGGCATTTGGCTGGGGCGGGCTTGATTTTAAATCCATTATTTTTTTAATCCTTCATTTTAAATCCTTGTGCAGCCCTGTAACTCAGCTGGTAGTCTTCAGCAAATAGTTCTTCTAGTGTTTTAACAGGGTATCCGAGCAGCAGCTGTTGACAAGTCACACTGAGCAATGAGGAACCTCTTAATAGCCTGCAAGTTAAGGCCAGTAAAGCAAAGTCACCAAAGTGGTGGTTCCGGGTATTCCCCCTCCTCAGTTAAACACGTACTAGGAATGCTACTTCTTGATGCTGACTATAACTAACTGCCAAACATCAGAAATATCATTCTCTGTTCTGGGGACAGGAAATGAAGCCAAAAGCACATCAAATAAGGTGTAACACATTTTAAAAATAAACTCAATTCCCCCACCCCATCTGATACCCTTGTCATTTCTCTGTCTATGGTGCCTCTTAACCATCCAAAATACAAATTAAAATGCATCTTTCCCCATCCTTCAGCTACTAAACTGGAAGTGTTGGGGGGAGGCTTAATGCTTTTCCTATCTGTTTTACTAGCTATCCATTGTAAGGACTATCAGAACTGCAGGCTCTACTGCAATGTCTGAATCTCAGCAAATTTGAGATGCACGGACTTCAACTTCCAGAATTCCCCAGGCAGCATCACATCTCAAAGTTGCTGAGATTGAAAAACACTGCTCTAGTGGCTCTCACCTCAAGCGTTACCACTGAGTAATTTTGCCAGCAGATTCAGATCAATCCTTTAGTACTTTTTCTATGCCTCCACCGTTCCTGTCACCTGCTACAGCCACAGGCCTGACCATGCCTTGTGACCCAAGGCATGCAACCATGAGAGGGCAGTAGAGTCCTGCAGAGACTGCCCTGTGGGAATGCAGGCTGCTTCTCCCTAGATGCCAGTAGTACTTTGCTTGCTACTGTCAAACAGCTGACCTTGCTCTCTTTGTGACTTACAGCATCACAATGACAAGTATTGCACCTGTAAATTTCCTTAGCTTGAGTGCTGCCTTCCTTTCCCGCCCCAGTTGAGTAATGGGCTCTGTAGCCCTTCCTTTCCTCTCTTTCTTTCAACCTCCAATTGTTGTGGTCACTGGAAGCAGGATCTGGAACAGTCAGCCTTGGAGGCTCATGCACGAACAGAA